AGCCCCAGTTTAGGTGTGTCTAGGTTTTGTTTGGTTAGCATTAGTCATTGCAGCTCTAATGGTGAAATAAGACCTGCTCCCATTGGAGCAGGGGTGACAGAGATCCTGTCTGATGGGGATGCCCTAGTATTTCAATGACTTGAATGGAGACTAGTGTCCCAGTGAAAGAGAATTTCCCCAGGAACTTTCCACAAGATGGAGAATAAACCAGGGATTAATTAAAACCAAAACAAAAAACAGCAGATGGAGACTAGTACAGAGATCTATCGCTAGCCAAAGCACAGAGACTAAGTGATGGTGGGGTTACACCTATGACACAATCCTTGCACATAAGGCTCAAAACCATCCTTTACTCCAGCTCCAGGCGACCCAAGACACTCATGACCTCCATGGGCACCAGACACATATGATGTACATACATGTGTACAGGCAAAACACTCATACACGTCAAATAATTCTAAAACTATCTATTTTCAAATTCTGCCACTGTATTAAAGGGCACTACAATTGTAGTCTCTGTAAAAAGAAAAATGTTCTGGCGAAAGACAAAGAAGAGATGGGGATATCCTGGGATGGAGTTGGAGCAACCTTTCCTTGGACTATGGCTGCTGGAGTTCTCTGCCGCATCGTGGGGGGTCTTGGAGTTCTCAGCCGCATCGTGGGGGGTCTTGCCGAGAGCGGCTCCCAGGTTAATCTGACACTAACCATGCAAGAAGCTCACAAAGATCCCTGTGTACCAGGACACGAAACCCGAGCTCCCCAGCCCGGCATCAGTCACGCAGTGCTCTCTCCATACAGGGGACAACACACAGGACCAAGCTGGGGGAAGCTGGTGGGACGGCCACTTTCTCATGCATCCATCATTTCCTCCTCATTTGTCCCCGCTTTCCTTTTCCTGTTCACATGTTTTTCTCTCCTCTTACACCCTCATGTGCTATTCTCCAGCTTCCAACTGTAATCGCCTTGGTTAATAAGTACCCAGAGTAACAAGTGGGAATCGAGCTATGTGGCTATCTGACTGCTCCTCGCTTCCAGTGCTTGTTGAAATAATTTCCTCCAGTTTGGTCATACACGGTTCACGACCAGTACAGCCGAGGATACACGGCTCACGGCCAGTACAGCCGAGGAGAGCTCTGCTACGAAAAACTGAAAGTTCGTTTATCTATACATGAGTATTGAAGGTGAAATGAGCTTGTTATTTGGAACAAACAACTAGCTTTGTTTGCCTCCGAAGGAGGAGTGAAGACAAGAGAGGGTCAAGGAGAACCATTTTGCAGTCTATACAACTTACCTAGGCAGTAAAACTTGCAGGGACTGCAATATAGGGACTGCCTATACTAACAGTTCTAGAAAGTAAAGCAATACTAAAGAATGCCACTGCCACGAAATACCACTTAGTATAAGGGTGAAAGCAAGCAGAAACATGACACACTGAGTGGTCTGTCAGGGATGTTAAGCTCTAGGAGCTGGTGTTGGGGTCGATTGGCTGCAAGACTTGTGTACTCCCTACTTCCACCGTGCACACTCGGAGTTAATATTTTAGTTGAAAACCTAACACACAAATAAAAACACCTTCCATATGAGCTAATCATTTATTCTATTCTGAAGCTCACATGAGTTTGTCACATGTGAAAAGACTTTCAAGGGAAACGCACTATGCTAGTCTCATAAATCGTTTTTAGAAAGCACAGGTCATCTTATGCTATCCAAAATCAGAAAATGTAATCTTCTCAGTTATTTCTTCATTTTCCAAAACCCCATTTTATGGCAAAGTGAGAATGAGAACCTACAATGGCCAAAAGAGTTTGCCCCTTGTAGACCAATCACAGTAAAAAATCAGAAGGGGGGAGGGCTGGTAAACTGTCCCAGAGACTACCTTAATAGATTTAACACTAACTGATTTGGAATTTGGACACTGACTCCCCATGCCAAGTGTTCTGATGTTGAAAGTTTAATTGAATCTTGTTCCGACAGAGAATCCTGTAACTGGGTTGCAAACGCAGTCCTGCTGTTATCTCAAGCCCAACAGAGAGCAGTCAGCTCCCTGCAGACCTTTGATACTAGGAGGGGCAGGGTACACAACCACGAGTTTCTTCCTCAAAATTGTGCCAGGAAGGGAAGGTGCTGGATGGACTTCACATTTTATATTGGAAGCATATGTATATTCTACCCACAGTAAAACAGGACCAGGAAAACTTCTGGAAACAGTTTGCCCATGATATTGTGGGTAGGTGAGTTTAGTTTCTCTGATGCAGCATGAAGAACAATTGACTTTTGTGCAGATGTGCAGTCATCCACCTACACCTCATGACCACAATCATGTTGAGTATGTCCTCTCTCCTTCCCTCCACTGCCAAATACACATCCGTATATCACGTACACACACGTGTGTGCAAAGCATGCCTAAAACACTACCAGCTTCTGGTGTCACTTTGCTGGGGATTTTATCAAGCAAAAATGCTGCTGTCACGACTATATGCTAGTAACATGTGCTAGCTGTTTCCCTAACCCTTCTCTCATCTAACTTCGGGACAAACAACCAAGCCTACTAGGAAAATAATGCACATGAATGGTGAGTGTGAACACCTTCACCCAAGATTTGCTGGGATTAAAAAGTACCTGTTTACAAAGAACCCTAGCCCTAAACAATATGCAAAAACTAGCTTAACAGAGACCAAGGATGTAAACCTAAGGCCCCAAACTGAAAAGGAAAATGGGAGCGCAGCCTCATGAATTTGACGCAGAACCATATGTATCAAAAGAAGAAATAGATGAATTTCATCAAAATAAAAAAATTGAGCCAGGCGTAGAAATGTATTGGGATATATATATATATACTCCTGTAATCCCAACACTGGAGATGGAGGGAAGGGGATCAGGTGGCAAGGCCAGTCTGGTCTACAGTCTGAACTCTAGGACAGCCAGGACTATACAGAGAAACCCTATCTCAAAAACAAAACAAAACAAAAACAAAAAAACCCACAAAAAGCAATCAAACAAAAACAAAAACACAACAAAAAAGAAAAGGAAATCAAAAGAAAACCAAAACCAAAACAAACCAAACAAAAGAACCTTTACAACTTGGCTGGGATGTATCTCGGTGGCAGAGCACCTGCCTAGCATGCACAAGGTCCTGGGTTCCATCCCCAGGACTGCAAAAGAAAAAATACCCAAATCCTGTCCATCAAGATTAACACCATATACAGAGATGAAAGGTACCCAGGGTGCAGGAGGAAATATTTGCTAATCATATTCTGTGAAGAACTAATGCCCAGAAGCCATAAAGAAGAACCACAAACTCAACATAAAGCAAGCAAGCAACTTGATTAACAAACGGACAGGGGATTTGAACACACATTTCTCCAAGATACAATGGAAGCATGAAAAACCATTGAGCATCATACATTGTTAGGGATGAGAGAATCAAAGCCAGTGTGCTACACCGTTTTATACTCACTATAATGGCAATCATCAAACAAACCCCTTACCATAGCCAGTTAAATGGGCAAACTAGACCTCTTTGTACAATGATGGTGACATTGTAAAAACATGGTGGAAAATACATTTATAGATTTTTTTATTTTTCAGGAGAAAAAAAAAAGAAAACCTATAAATACTGAAAAGTTTCTACAACCCGATAAGCCTCTCTGGCAATGCAGCAATCCAAATCAGACCAAACCACATTTGATGGTTACTATGCTCCTGGATGGCCTTCTAGCACCCCAGAGAGGAGATTGGAAAGAGTCCGGGAAAACCATGAGTCTATTATCTGGGAGGCAGTTTAAATAACCTGTGAGAGTGGTCTTGAGCATCTCTGGGGGAGGGGCCATCATTTGACAGGCTTTCTGAGATGCAGCAGGAGAGATAGGGGAGGGGCTTGGGTGGAACCTCCACCATAACATCCCAGACTCTTTGGGTATATGGATGCCAGGGCCTGGGGTGAAGCTTCCACCATAACAAATACTTTGAATTTACCAAATTTACATCATTGCTAGATGTAAATCCAAAGTAAAAGCAGGACTGAGAGATGTTGGGAGTGTTATTTACAGTAGCCAAAATCTAGAAACACCCCAGATTTCTGCTAATGAATAAAGGTTTAACAAAACCATCTATGCCTTACAATAGAATATTATTCAGTCTTACAAAGACTGAGCATTGTATGAACCTTGAAGGTATGCTTTGTGAAATAATCTGGGTACAAAAGAAAGGACAACATGCCACAAACTGGAAAGTGACGTGACAGCTGTTTCTGCTTTATATAAGAGGCAAGAAGGCCAGTGTGCAGAGCATATGAGGATGACTCCAACATCACAAATACCATCACACTGAGTCTTCTATCTGTCTTGTACAGAGAGCCTTTCTAGTGTACCACACATTAAAAGATGTCAAAAGACTGGTAACTGCAGGCTGGGTGGAGGCAAGAGGATCAAGAGTTCACACTTAACTCTGAACAACAAGAGACTGTCTCAAACAAAGAAACAAAGCAAGAAGAAATGGGGAGGGAGGGAGGGAGAGAAGGGAGGGAGGGAGGAAGGAAGGGAGGAAGGCAGGAAGGAAGGAAGGCAGGAAGGCAGGAAGGAAGGAAGGGAGGAAGGAAGGAAGGAAGGAAGGGAGGGAGGGAGGGAGGGAGGGAGGGAGGGAGGGAGGGAGGGAGGGAGGGAGGGAGGGAGGGAGGGAGGGAGGGAGGAAGGAAGGAAATGCTGATCCCCTCTGAGAAGTCAGAAGTGGATTGTAAGCAGCCTGAGTTGCCCTGGGTCTCTTCCCACAGGCAGACAGGAAAAGATACGCCCTCTCAAGCCACAAAGATGTGACGTGTACAAAGGTAAGGGTTTGCAGCACAGGCTCAAAGCGACTCATCGTCATGTGTAATATACCACTAATTCACCATGTAAACACACATGGCGCCTACATTGCCTAACAGCAGGTGTCCTGTTTGATAGGAAGGGAAATTATATTTTTACTTAGGTAGGAAAGGAAAGGGTTCCAGGAAGTGCACTCACTAAAGGTCACCAGTTCAATTGGTCCTGGTTCTCCAGATTGAAGGCAGAGCAAGAAAATGAAAGCAGATTCAGGCAGCTTGCTTGGGATTTCTCTGTTCAATTCTTGAAATGTCCTTTGAGGCAGATCCTAAAGGGTTGAAGGAAAGAAAAAAAAATTAGAAAATGTTTCGTCTAGCTCTATTTCAATGTAAGTTTCACATGTGCCAGGAAATTAAGGTTGCTTTTTTCAGAAAATAAACCATTACTCTTATGTTCTCAAGAAAGCAAGAAATGTAACTCATTATCTCACCCCTGAAGAAGTGGGGAATTGGGACAGGAACATTACAGTTTTTTTCGTTGGTGTGCTTTGACCTTTAGAGCTGCTATGACTTAAAGATAGACGTACTGCCTTGGAAGAATACAGATGCAGCCCAGAGACTCAAAAAAGACACACCTCCTTATATATACATAAAACTATCTAGCTGGGTGCCTCCTGCCTGGTCTGTGGAGTTACGCGGCACACCATTAAACCATCCCATAGCAGGCCCCCAGGAGCACAGGAAAAGGTACTTGGGATCCACCTCCAATGAGAGTGGCTTACTCTCTCCTAAAATCACAGTCAAAAATTTTTTTTGATTTTTTTCTTTTAAGAAAAGTGTTATGAAGAATGGAAAGTATTAATTCAGAGTTTATCTTGGAAGTCGTAGTATGTAAAGTTCAACTAAACTGTTCAAGAAACACAGACATATTAGATAAAAGTATTACAGTATATCCTACCTTTATTCAATATCTAGAGATATACTCTACACAGCCTCTACAACTACCACCAGACCTGACCAAAAAGATCCAAATGATGTATATGTTCACATTTTTAAATTCAGTATGGAGCCATGGCTGCAAATCTAGACTAGAAGTTTTTTTTTAATGTCATCATGACCACATCCTGGTCTGAGGCAGAGGCATGCTACATATCCCAAAATGGCTTGAAATTTGCATTTCTCCTGCCTCTGCCTTTTAACTCTGGGGGTTATAGACACAAGCCACCATGCCTTGACTGACTCCTCTGTCTTCAATTTCAGGCAAATCCCTTCACTTGTTTGAAGTGCAAAATATAGTTGAATTGCTAGGTTTTAAATAGCTGTTTTTGCCACTGTTGTTTGTTTTTGGTTTCTTTGTGGTTATTTTTTGGTTGCAATATGTATTTAGCCAAATAAAAAAACAAGAGCCAGGGCAATGGTGTGTAGGATATTTAGAGCTCTACAGAGCAGTTTGGAATCTCCTGGATTAAGTGGTCTCCAAAGTGAGTTAAAACGCAAAACTGTCTAACCATTTCCATTGGAATGACTGGTGTTCTGTAGTACCCATGGTTTTATCAGAGCATAAGCAATAACCTCAGCCAGGTCCTAGGTCAAATTCTTATCATCAAGGATTTCCTCAAAGGGGAAGTCCGCAGCCTTAAATTAGAAGGTAGCAGATGTTTAACACGTGACCTCTCGATCTATTTAGTCTTTACCGAACCCTGAAAAAAAAATGGACGTGTGTGTGTGTTGCACACTGAATAACAACCAATCCAAAGTCACAGCTTGATAAAACCTTGGGTATTAAAGTGCACATTATAAGCTGTGTCTTAAACTTAGTTGCAGCGTCAAGTCAACAGAATGAGATGCAGACTCCTACGCTATGTTTCCTGGTGTGCTCAGCTCTCCTGAGCTAAGAAATAGTTATAAAGCTATATATTTGCACAGGACTTTGAAGTTTCCCACTTTGTGTAATAGTAAAAGTTCCCCCTCAGCAATGTAATGTCTCAGTTGTGGACATGTAAACTCTGTAATATGAAAGCAAATTATTAATATATACCGAAATTTGGGATTCACAGTTTTATACTAAACCGGAGGGAGGAGTAATAGCTATTTAAGGAAAGTATAACATGTAGGCTCAATTGTACATTCCCAGAAAATTCTGATTTTCCACAATGAATTAAATAGACTTTATTTCATAAAAACCTCAATATTTGCTATTCTGATTGCTCACAAAAATCTCCAAATAAAACCAACAAGTTTGACTTCATATATACACACATAACACCACATAAGCATACATATATACATTCACACACATACACAGACATACATGTACATATACATACACACATGCATACACATATATGCATGCACATATACATACACACACATTCTTTTTTATTTTTGCATGGAGTGAGCATTGGAGCTTCGCAGGGCTCCCAGCAAATGTTGTGGGATGTTCCTTTGGCTGATGCTGGATGCTTACCCTGATTCCATTTTGACTCATATTCTTTCTGTATCTTGTCTGCGTACACACAGTTTTTGGTTGGTTTGGTGGTAGTTGTTGGTTGGATTTTGTTTTTGAGGAGTGTGCGTGTGATGTGCCCATGTGTGGTACTTTGTGCAATTCTCTCCTTCCACCTCCATATGGGCTCCATCAGTCAGCAGGAACAATTACCTGCTGAGCTACAGCACACACCCACACATTAAAGCAAAAACAACAACAAAAGCAAAAGAACCTAACCAAATAAACGAAAGCATTGCAACTGCTCTTTGCCTTTGAAGAAAAACCAAAAAAAAAAAAAAAGATTTCATTACTATAGTTTTTCATTTTCTGTGTCTGCTGCCGTACATAAGAGCATTACGTTCATGCAGTACCCACAGAGAACAGCGGAGAGCGCTGGAAATAAGAGAACTATAATCAGAGATGGTAGTGAGTGGCCCCACGGGTGCTGGGAACTGAACCCAGGTCTTCCACAAAAGCATTAAATGATGAGCCATGTACATGTGGGTTTTTTTTTGTTGTTGTTGTTTTTACGAGACAGGGTTTCTCTGTATTGTTTTGGAGGCTGACGGTCCAGCCCAGCTTCGAACTTACAGAGATCCGTCTGTCTCTGCCTCCCGAGTGCTGGGATTAAAGGCGTGAGCCACCACCGCCCAGCTGTACATGTGGCTTTTAAGGTTGTCTCAAATTCACTTTTTGGAATGAAGGCAGGATACACTAACATTAAAACAAACAAACCTTATACCCTAATACATTTATTGGTCTAATGTCATGACATGCTCTGTGCTACTTTAACCCTCAGTCACACGCTTAAGCTAAAAATAAAATTTCCACCCCTACTCTCTACCAGCTCCTAAATATTGTACTTAGAAGGTATATGTGTGAATGGATGCCGCGAAATGACAAAGGCGCTTGTGAGCTGAGAGGGAAGAAAAGAGATTTTAAGGGAGACGGGAATAGGGGTGGGGCAAAAGAACACATGCAGAGAGGGGGAGGGAGGAAACTGGGGTAGGAAGGTACAGTGGGGAGAGGCAGCAGAGAGGAGTGTGTGCGTGCGTGCGTGTGTGTGTGTGTGGGGGGGTCGGGGTAAGAATCAACCCAAAGCAGGCACGATACATGTTGTCATAAAGAAATAAGCTACTTCATATACTAATTAAAATTAATTAGTAGTAACCACTTACATCTTTCATTTTATAAGATGGGGGTGGGTGTGTCTTATGTAGCCCAGGTTAGCCTCAAACTTACTACAAAGCTCAGGATGACCTTGAAGGAAGGTCTGGTACTCTTGTCTACTCTCAAGGAGTCTTGACCTCAGACATGCTCTCAAGGGTGTAGACCTCAGCTTTCTCGAGTATTTCCTGAACTTCTGTATCATCACAAAGATCTTACATTTGGAAGCATACTGCAAACGGCCAGCCCCTAGTAGCCTCAACCAATTCAGCTCTCACAGCAGACAGTGGCTTTTAAAAATCACACCATGTGGTGCCCTCAGCCTCTTGTGGGATCTTCTACATTCCTTGGTGCTGTCTTTAGGATAAAGTCAATATCCTCCTAAGATGTGAAGAGTTTCAGTCCTCATCCAGTTTCATGCCCTGCCTCTTACAGGTCATTCCTAATTCTTCAGATCCTCTCAGATCATCTGCCTGGCCAGGCTGAACTCAACCCTATATCGTTCCTCCAGTGAAGCCATCCAGGGAGGCTCCTGAGACACATGCCCAGTGTCATCTAGCACTCTTTCTGACACTAGATTGAGCCATAGGAAATTGTCATACTGAAGGACAATCATGGTAGCATTTTGGTAGATGGCTTAAGCTTACGGTAACTGTGAGAACTGAGTTCATCTTCCACTAAATAAAAACTTCACTAGGGCAGAATCTGGGTCTGACTCACATCTAGACCCCAATGCCCATTCTCAGTGTTGGCCCAGAGCAGGTGTTTAACTTTAATTAATGTGAGACGTTATTCCGACTTTTTAAATGCTAAGTATTTAATTTTAATATTGTCTCTGGTAGTTAAAAATCATATTTTTTTATCCAAGTCACTATACTTGTTAAGCATAAAGAAACAGAATGAATAAATTCAAGGTAACATTTCACATCTGGCATTTGTACAAAATATGAAATCAGTAAATGTAACACTGTAATGTATATTCTCAAGGATAGGATTCAACCTATCCATATGGCATTATTTATGAACTTATATGAACTCAAATGCTTCTCACTGCTTGGCAGCACAAAAAGAGCTTGCAATGGAAATGAGATGATTTGGATTTAGTGATCAGTTAAGGGAATATAGCATCCAAAGAATGGTAGACCTGAAATGGGCATTTTAAAGCGTCCTTCTGCCTGTCAGTAAGAGAACACCTCCTGAGACCTCCCACAGCACCTAATCCAACCATACACTTCTGTGTCTACCCCTCCTGAAATGAAGAGACCAAGGAGAAGGCACGTAGGGTGGGCAAGGCTAAGTCAGCAGCTAAGAACCAATGAGGACAGCAGCAGCTCTGTCCTTAAATCCTCATTGTACATCATTGTGTTAAGCATCCCATAGACACCATCTTACTTGCTCATACATACAATAAGGAAGCAAGAACTATGGTCCTACTTTGTTTGAGAGATGGGGGAACAGTACAGAGAGACTGACCAAAGAGCAAGGTTTATTAATGAACCCGGCAAAGCTGAGATTTGAACACAGAGGGTCAGAGAACCTGAACTCTCAATTAGTATGTTCTCTAAGAGTCCAATTGGCCCAGGATGGGAGAGTTGAAAACTACAATTGTGTTCTTTAAAAAGTGAGAGAGAGGCTGCTATAGTTTTAGAACTTCAATGTAAACCTAAAGGTCCA